AGGACGCTTGTTTGTTCCCAGCTGCCCAGACCATGAAATAGTCACACAGAAACTATATTATTTGCAATACTATTTGGCTAATACCTTAAGCATTTTTCTGGCTTACTCTTATATGTTAAATTAAACCATTTCTATTAATCTGTATATTGCCACAAGGTCGTGGTCTACTGGTAAAGTTTCAGTGGGCTCCAGAGCAGGTGTTTAACCCCGGTGGAGGCTACATGGCTTTTTGCAACTCCACCTTCCTTCATCTCAGCATTCAGTTTAGTTTCTTCTTCCCCATACCTAGCTCTACTCTACTCTGCACTGTCACAGGCCAAGGCAGCTTCTTTATTCATTAACCAATAAAAGCAACACATATACAGAAGAATTTCCCACACCAGTTCCTCATCAAAGTAACTTCCTTATGCAAGAGATGAAAACCAAAAAAATTACATTACATATACCATAGCAAATACAACAAACCAAAATGCAGAGTTGTGGAGCTCAGTCACAATGGATACATCTACAAAACAACTCATGCATTGTGAAAGAGGGGGAGGAAAGATTGTAGGAACCAATGGACCGGGGAGTTTGTTGTGAGACTGGGTCTCCTACTAATTCCAGAAGCAATATACATAAAGTTTCACCAACATGGCAACCTAAACATGAGCTGGACAAGGACAACAAGATAGACATGCCATAGTGGATGGAGAACACCCATGAGGCCTCACTCTACATAAATGACTATAAGGAACTAGGGATTCTGAGAGTGAGGGAATAGTCTTCCCCAAGGAAGAGAACATGAATTGATTATTCAATATGAATGCTCAGCTTTGCAAACATACATATAATCACATTATACAGACTAATCAAGTTATGCCAAAAATATATTCATGCATATACACTGATATGTATATGATTAATATAAAAATAAGCCACGAATTTGAAAGAGAACAAAAAGGGGTGCATGGGAGGGTTTAAGGTAGAAGGAAAGGAGGGGAGAAAATGATGTATTGTAACAAAAAAGGCAAAAGTAAAAACAAGATGAACTCTTGAAATCTAAAAAACTGTCATTAATGGAGAAACTAACAGATACTCTTTCAATTTTTCTGTCACCATTGTCTAGTGATGTACTTGTCACGCATATAACTCAGAAAGGAACATTCTGAAAGATCATTCTCATTACGGATGGGTGAGGACGTCTATTCCCCAGATGAATATGTCCCCAAAATAATATAATCAACACATAATGCTCAGAGCCCATAACACAAATAGAGCAATTTCAGTCAGAAGAGCAGTGCAGTGTGCAGCATGTGGCACACAGGGGACATAAAGTGGAATTGATACATCCCACGTGAAATCCCTTGAGATCTCCAGTCTAAGGACAGAGATAAGAAACAAGAACCAGACATACTTACGTGGAATTGAAAACTCAAGTGGATCACTAGGCAGTGACCACAAGTAGGAACTGTGTTTTTGAGAGCCAAAGCATCTGTAGGTCCTCCTGTGCCCTGGCCTCACAGGGGAGATAAGAAATGTGTTGTGGTCCTGACGTGAGCAGCTCTGGGGAAAGGAGGCATTTCCACCTCTACAGAGGATGAAGATGTCAAAAGAAGACTGTGTGTCACAGAGGAGAGTCACATTTCTTTCTGAGATTTCCTGAGGTCCTGCATCAGCAGAAAGGAATGGCTTCTTATTGTAAATGCCTGGAAGTAAAAAGATTCTATTAGCTGGTCTTTGTGACATGGGCCTTTAATCCTAGCACTCAGGAGGCAGAGGCAGGTAGATCTTTTTGAGTTTAAAAAGAACCTGCTTTTTCAGCATCTAATGAAATGATCATATGGTTTTTTTCTTTCAGTCTATTTATATGGTGGATTACATTGATAGATTTGCATATGTTGAGCCAGCCCTGCATCTATGGGATGAAGCCTACTTGACCATAATGGATAACTTTTCTAATGTGCTCTTGAATTCGGTTTGCCAGTATTTTATTGAGAATTTTTGCGTCGATATTCATGAGTGAGATTGGCCTGTAATTCTCTTTCTTGGTTGCATCTTTTGAAGAAAAAAAAAAGAACGTGCTTGTCCACAGCTAAGGCTCCTAGCAATAGTGAAAAAGTTGCCTGTACTGGCCATATACTGTAATCAGATTGGTGACTACCCTAACTGTCATCAGAGAGCCTTCACCCAGTAACTGATGGAAGCAGATGCAGAGATCCAAAGCCTAGCACTGTTCCCAGCTCTGGAAGTCCTCCTGAAGAAAGAGGGGAAGTATTGTATGATCCAAGGGGTCAGGGTCATGATGGGGGAGCCCACAGAGATAGCTGACCTGAGTTCATGTGAGACCATGGACCCTGGACCAACAGTTAGGGAGCCTGCATGGGAGCAGCCTAGGCACTCTGCATGTTGTGTGGTTGTGTAGTTTGGTCTGTTTGTAAGGCTCCTAGCAGTGAGTTCAGGAACTGACCTTTGGGAACCTGTTCCCATGCTGGATTACTTTGCCCGGGCTTGATATGGGGGGGGAGCTCAGTCCTACCTCAATTTGATGTGCCAGACTTTGTTCAAGCCCATGGGAGATCTGCCCCTTTCTGAATGGAGACAGGGGAAAGGTGGATGGCAATAGGGGTAGATGGGAGTTGGGGAGATTAAGGGCAAGAACTATTAATTAAATAAAATAAGTTTTAAAAATAAAGGGGGACTGAGAGGCCTGAGGATCCCGTAGAGAGTGCTCCTGCCACTGGGGCTTCTTCTTATCCTCCCATCCTGACTCCCAAGCCTGCCTTTTCATCTGCAAGGTCCTTGGAACAGCCCAGGCACCATCCAACTCCCTGGGCTTTTCTGGGCATTCAGCAGGGTGTGTTCCAGGCTGCTGGCTTTCTTTACCACATTCCACCCTGCCCCCAAGCACTCCTTTTCATCTGCAAGGTCCTTGGATCCCCCAACTCAGCCTGCTTCAGGGCTGAGGGGTCCAGGGAGCCAGCAGAAAGCCACTGGGGCTTCTTCATATCCTTCCATCCTGCCTCCCAAGCCTGCCTTTTTGTCTGCAAGATCCTTGGAGCCCAGAAAAAGGCCCTGCTCCCATACTGAGCAGATCCAGAGAGGAAGCGTGCCAATGCAGAATTCCTTCGACATCCTGAAAAGCAACATGATAACACCAGAATCCAGCGAACACACAAGAAGATTAGAACATCCTAATCAAGGAGTAAAAGAAATCTACTTTAAACATAACGTTATGAAAATGATGGAGACCTTTAAACAGAAAGTGAAAAACTCCCTTAAAGAAATAGAAGAAAAGGCAAACAAAAAGATAGAAAAATGAATAAATCCCTCAAAGATACTCAAGAAAACCAAGAAAAAGCAAACAGGTAAAGGAAACAGTTCAACACTTGAAGACCGAAATAAAGGTAATAAAGAAAATACAAACCAAGAATTGGCTGGATATGGAAATTTTGGGTAAACAAACAGAAACTACAGAAACATGTATAACCAACAGAATACAAGAAATAAAAGAAAGAATCTCAGGCACTGAGGATACAATAAAGGAAATAGACATTGATCAAAGAAAAGAGCAAATCCAACAAATTCTTAACACAAAATATCCAGGAACTCTGGAACACCATGAAAAGACCAAGCCTAACAATAGTAAAAGTAGAAGAAGGAGAAGAAAGCCAGCACAAAGGCCCAGAAAATATATTCAACAAAATTATAGAAGAAAACTTTCCCAACCTAAAAAAAGAATATTCCTATGAAGGTTCAAGAAGCTTACAGAACACCAAATATACTGGATCAAAAACAAAAATCCCCTCACCATATAATAATCAAAACACAAAACATACAGAATAAAGAAAGAATATTAAGAGCTACAAAGGAAAAAGGACAAGTAACATATAAGGTAAACCTATCAGAATTAAACCTGACTTCTCAATGGAAACCATGAAAGCCAGAATGTCTTGGATAGATGGGCTGCAGACACTAAGAGACCATGGATGCAAGCCCAGACTACTATACCCAGCAAAGCTTGCATTCACCATCGATGGAGAAAACAAGATATTCCAGGATAAACACAGATTTAAACAATACATAGCCACAAACCCACCCTTACAGAAAGTACTAGAAGGAAAACCACAACCCAAGGAAGCCAACAACACCCATAATAACACAACATCTGACAACTCTACACCAACACAACTCAAAGAAGGGAAACACACACACTAACACCAAAAATTAGCCGAAGTTAACAACCACTGGTCATTAATATCGCCTAATGTCAATGAACTCAACTCACCTATAAAAAGGCACAGGTTAGAGACGGAGCTGGGAGGCGCAGGCAGGCAACGACTGCTGCCGCCGAGACTGGAGGGGACCAGCGCGGCGGCAGAGGTCGCAGGCGGCAGGGACCAGCGCGCAACACCGAGAGCAGATCGCCCCACTACAA